CGCACAGCAGGGGGGGCCAGGAAGAGGAAAGAGAGAGAGGAGAGAGAGAGAGAGAGAGAGAGAGAGAGAGAGAGAGAGAGAGAGAGAGAGAGACATTGAAAACCTATTTGAAGAAATAATAGCAGAAAACTTCCCCTACTTGGTGAAAGAAATAGACTTACAAGTCCAGGAAGCCCAGAGAGTCCCAAACAAGATGGACCCAAAGAGGCCCACACCAAGATGCATCATAATTATAATGCCAAAAGGTTAAAAACAAAGAGAGACATTTAAAAGCAGCAAAATAAAAGCAGTTAGTTACCTAAAAGGAAAGTCCCATAAGACTGTTAACTGATTTCTTAACAGAAACTTTGTAGTCCAGAAGGAATTGGCAAGATTCCTTCAAAGTGATGAAAGGCAAGAATCTACACCCAAGATTGCTCTACCCAGCAAAGCTATCCTTTACAATGGAAGGACAGATAAAGAGCTTCCCAGACAAGAAAAAGCAATAGGAGTTTATCACCACCAAACCGGTATAATATGAAATGTTAAAGGATCTTCTTTAAGGAGAAAAAAAATCAAAATATGAATAAAATTGCAATAAATACATATCTATCAACAAGTAAATCTAAAAAAATAAATGAATAAGCAGAAAAAGAATACCACCTGAAATTTTAGAAATTTTCTTCCAAATTTTAAAGTAACTTATATTAATCAATTTTTAATAGTATCAGACTTCACATTTATTTAATATACTGCTTATTCATTTACTGTTATATTGTGAGTACTATCACCATGTTGAATTGTTACTGGAAATCATGATTTTTAATGGTTGCTTTATAAATATACTACTTTTCATTTGTTTATAATACTATTTCCATGACAAAAGAGAGAACTAGGGTTTGGTGGCTAAAACAATCTTTAGCTTACTAAAGAGATCAGAATTCAGAGTTTAGGCCTATATAATGTAACACAATATAGAAGTTAGAGTTTGCTTAGACAAACCTGAGAAAATGAATTAATTTAGCATTATTTTAATTTTAATTTTCTTTGTTAATCTTCACCCAAGGACATTTTTTCCATTGATTTTTAGAGAGAGTGGAAGGAAGGGTGAGAGACAGAAAGAGAGAAACATCAATGTGAGAGACATCCACAGGCTGCCTCCTGCATGTGCCCTCACCAGGACTAGGGATCGAGCCTGCAACCAAGGTATATGCCCTTGATTGGAAACCCTTCAGTCCATAGGCTGATGCTCTAATCACTGAGCCAAATCAGCAAGGGCAGCATTATTTTTATTTCTTTCTTTTATAACTTTTATTTACTTTATTTTATTTTTAAATATATTTTTACTGATTTAGTAGAATTTTACAGGCAACAGTAAACAGAAAATGTAGTAGAGAGGGAGTAACTTAAATTAATTAATCTAATGGTTCTTTTCCTTCAAATAGTAATTCCTAATATCTGTTGAAGAACTAACTACTGCTAAGAATCTTGAATATGAGCACCAACTTCCTTCCCTAAGGTAACTCCTATTGCATCAACCTAAGCAGCAACTGAATTTTGATAGGGTCTTATCAAAGTTCAAGTGACTGACCTGTTCCTGGGTCATCTTCTGCAGCTCCTTTTCCCAAGTTGCCTGGTCATCGTCCAAGTTATAGGAAGCTGGTGGAGTGAGCCCATGAAGGATCAGGGGGTCTCGGTCATGGCAGAGGGCTGTCAGGTGTCCAATATACAATTTTAATTTGCTTCTATTTTGGTCAAGTTCTAAGAGAGGTTGGATGATCTAAGGGGAAAAAAATGAGGAAAGTCAAGATCAGTCTGAAATGAGCTTAAATATCGTTATGCCTCCCAAGTCAAAGAAAACTGACCAAATCACTATTGAAATCTTCAGGATTATAAAAAGAAACATTTCCACATGCCTGCACATTTACAGTATCACACTCAACCACCCCATTCTGGGAGATGGGTAGGGGATGTTGGCTTACTGTATCAATTCAAGACTAAGAGTTCCATACTTTGGCAGGGGATTAAGCACAGGCCTGACTTGTTTTTACAGAGATGACATTGCTGATAAGGACTCCAGTTACCTCACAATTTCTCTTCCACTTATTTATGAGTAGGTTTCATAATGTCCCTGTTGACTCAGTGTTCTGGAGACGCAAAAACTGTAATTTAGATAACATGCTTAAGTAAACTGCGGCTTCTCATTCCAGACCCCAGGGCTCTAGATAATGTGTTTCTGTCAATTCAGTGATTCGGAGACCCCAAACTATAATTTAACTAACATGCTTAATTCTGCTTCTGTAAACTGCTTTGTGCAAACCAGGTTCCTCATTCCAAACCATGGGATGTAATCAATACCTTTGTGATCTTTGACTGT